GACGAGAACGAATGCTTGAAATGTTAATCCAACATGGTAGTGCTTTGAAGGCTAGAGACAATTTTGGACGGACTCCCCTTCATTTAGCTTCTGTTAAAGGAAATGAGCGATTGGTGAAACTCTTAATCCGACATGGGTGCGAAATAAGTGCTCGAGATAACTCACAGAAAACTGCGCTTCATTTGGCTGCAGAGAGTGGACAGGATACTATTGTACACTCCTTGATAATGCGTGGAGCTGATATCCAGGCTACAGAGCTCTTTGGACAGACGCCTCTCCATTTGGCTGCACAGACTGGGCGCACAAACGTTGTAAAATTACTTCTAAAACATGGAAGCATTATTGGCGCAGTAAATGTGTTTAAGCAGACACCTCTTCACTTAGCTGCAGAGAGTGGAGAAAACGGATACAAAGACATTTTAAAGGAGTTGATACAACATGGCAGTTATGTCAATGCTGTGAATATATTTGGACAAACTGCTCTTCATTTGGCTGCTCGAAAAGGACATAAAAACATTGTAGAGGTCCTTGTTCAACATAAAAGCAACGTATTGGCTTTAGATGACGCACGCGACACTGCTTTGGATATCGCTGGTGAAAGTGGCCATCAAGAGATTGTGGAATTGCTCACAGAACATCCACACATTGTAACTCTTAGAAAGTACTTCGTTAGTACACGTCTGCTTGTGGCTGAAGCCGGAGGAGGAAATGGAAGCCAGCAAAGTCTGGAAATATCTAACACTGTCTTGAAATGTATCCACTGTAACAGGAGTAACTTAAAGGCTGAGGAGGAAGTCGATCAAATTATTCTTCATCTCTCCCCAAGATATGATAAAAGTCATTCTTTGGGATCTTTGACGCGAGTTCAACGTAATGTTAAAATGGAGGATATTCTTAAACTTACACCCCTATATTTGGCCGCCTGGATGAGAATTGGAGAACGTCCATTCCAAGGGGTTGCATTGAGGACTAGGAGCAAGAAGTTTGATGAACATGGTTTAAAATCTGCAAATAATGATATCAAGGCCTTTAGTTTCTCGCCCTCTTTCCAGGCAGTAATGCCGTTAGATACTATTTCAGGTTCCTATAAATGCAGTTGCGTTTGTGCACCTCGTAAGTACCAAAAATATTCTTGTTTGGAGTTGATTTCGAGGCAGTTTTCCTTCGTCGCATGGAAACAGAGAAGAGGTTTAACAACAGGGGAATCTAATCTCAGAAGGATATTATCAAACATCCTCATCTGTCGGCAGAAACAAGTGCGCGCGAAAGAGAAGACACTTCAAAAAGTGCGCAACTGCTGCAAACCAGACATAGGTGAAGATGCTTGCAAAATTTTAAGCAGAGGGCGAAGTTATATCGAACAATGTTGTGGGCTCGATGGCTCGCAACCAAACGGAACATCCCTGAACAGTTTATCGCGGACGTCACTCGGTACCCAATACTTCAGCAATTGGAAGAGGTTCATACCTTCTGTGGGAACCTCTTCAGGACCTAACCTGGGTATTAGCTGTGCAGTTAATCACCATAGTGAAGACAGTTGGTACTCAGATGCTCAAGTCTTAAAAAAATACTCGGCCCAAAATGAAGAAATACACCCATGTAGAAACATCGGAGATATACAACCATACAGAAGAGCCTGCAAGGGAAACGGCTGTGAAGAAGTCGAAACGAGACAAAATTATTTTTCCGAGAGAAAGAAGATAGTACAAAAAGTGCCCCACTACCGCAAACCACACGCAGATGAAGAGGATGACCACATATTGAAAAGTAGGCGAAGTTATCTCGAACATTTTGAACCATGTATCTTCAATCTGAGCTTCCATGACTTCCCCCAAGGCCACATATGCCGTGGTTGTTTTCTTCCGAGTAATGCGAGTAGCAGGTTAAAAAGGACTGGGGAAGAGCGTGATAAAAAGTGTTTCGCGAATTTTAATTGTCTGTGCTCGGAACAGTCAGATAATAAACCTCGGACGTTACTCAGTACTCAAGGCTATAGAAATTGGAAGAGGTTCATTTCTGGTGTGGAAACCGCTTCCGAACTTAACTCGGGTTTATTCTGTGCGGTCAAACACCAAATGAAAGACAGTGGGTATTCAGACGAAGAGGTCCTCAAAAAATATTCAGTCGAAAATGAAGAAATACAACCATGTAGAAACAACGGAGACATACAGTCATACAGAAACAACAGAAAAAGAAGACAAGAGCGAGCTTGCAAGGGAAACGGCAGTAAACTGTGGACACTCTTTTTTACGCCCAAGAAATCCTTTGAAGGACTACTAAGGAAGATAATGTTGCAAGGAGAGAATTATCAGACAACAATGGCGATTGGTATTATTGTCGGTACTATATATGTTGTGTTGTGGTACAAAATGTGTTGTATTAAAGTGCTTGCAAAACGGAGAAGCCACAGGATTTCCTTAAAACTCCCAGCATCAGCCAAATCAGCCAAATCATCAAATAAAAGTAAGTCTGATACTATGAATATATGAAGTTCATATATTTTGAACTGCGGTATTAAATACGTATGATGCACGATCCTTCGCAATAGATAGCGGTATTTATGCAATAGCAAAAATCAGACCTGAAAAAAAAAAAAAAAAAA